ATTGTTTGGCAAGTATTATTAATTTTTTATGTTCACCTGTTAATTCTTTCCTTTTATGTTCGTGAAGGAGTGAGTGTATTCGCCCATTTGCTCTTGAATTGGAGCATGTTTGTGGGAGGCCATTAGGACTGCGTTTTGATAAGAAAACTAGAGATCTCTATATTGCGGACGCCTATCTCGGTCTTCATGTAGTGGGACCGGCTGGAGGTTTGGCAACAAAACTTGTGACTGAATTCGAAGGCAAGCCACTTCGCTTCACAAATGATCTTGATATTGATGAAGAAGGTGATGTGATCTACTTTACAGACAGCAGTACAGTTTTCCAAAGAAGGTAATCAAGACTTAAAGCATATTCATGCCTCGTTTTAGCAATTGATCTTAAAGAAGAAAATCTGAGAAAAAAATCTGAAACATCTGATAAAGAACTTATCTGATGAACATAAGCTCATTGTTTTTCTGGTTCCTCTGTTTTTTTTTTTTTTTTTTTTTTTTTCTAATGCTTAACTGGAGTACTATGTTTGTAATGTCATTGGTTATCTCTATTTTAACATTTTCCTTTGAAAATGAGAGTGTAATTTGCTTTTATACGTCAACACTTCATTTGAAACTGGAACCGAAGACCATAAACTTGCTGGTGTGATATTGACTTTTCTTCAACTTTTGTTTTGTGAATGCTTTATATTTGCAGACAGTTCATGGCATCGATCTTGAGCGGAGATAGCACGGGAAGGTTATTTAAGTACGACCGAGATAGTAAACAAGTTACGGTTTTATTGCAAGGCCTTGCTTTTGCCAATGGTGTTGCATTAAGCAAAGACAAGTCCCATCTGCTTGTTGTTGAGTCCACCACTGGCAGGATCCTCAGATTTTGGGTTCGAGGTCCTGAAGCAGGAAACTTGGACGTTCTCGCCAAGCTTCCGGGGTATCCCGACAATATTAGAAGGAACCCCAAAGGCGAGTATTGGGTTGCTTTGCATGCTAAAAAGGGACTTGTTGGGAGATTGGTTTCTTCAAACTCTTGGTTTGGGAAGGTACTGTTGAAACTTCCTGTTGACTTCAAGAAATTGCATGGGTTGCTGGTGGGAGGGAAGGCCCATGCAACTGCGGTTAGGTTGAGTGAGGAAGGAGAGATTTTGGAGGTATTGGAAGACTGTGAAGGGAAAACTTTGAAGTTTATTAGTGAAGTGGAAGAGAAGGATGGAAAGCTGTGGTTTGGATCTGTCCTAATGCCGTTTGTGGGTGTTTTTGAATTAAAGTAGGCTGTTTTTAAGCTATTTCTCGAGATAGTTCAGCTCTAGTTTTCCCTTTTCGAGTAGGAGATACTAAAAGGGGTTTGAGAAAGCTCCTGTTGATTTATTTAACTTTTGGTTAATGCATTCGGATTTTAAATCTTTCTTCATTTTTGCCATATGGCTCCACTTTTGGGATAGTTATCACCAAACTCCCTCGCCAATAAAAAAAATTCTATAAATTCACTAATTTCAATAATTGAGAAAAATTAGGAGAATTGATATGAAAGCTTGGCCCATTTAATCTCAACCGTAGCTCAATTCATTGCTGTGCAAGAAAAGCTTGAAGGAGAATAAATAATCAATGACTTTAAACCTCAACAACTATTCAAAAAAATTAGTTCCTCCATTTTTTACACAAAAATTTATGGTTTTCTCGCAACTTTCTTTCATTTCCATTTAGCAGCATCTTAGAATGATATGGCCTTGAAGTTAAGGGTGAGATTCTAACATCTTAGTGAGTTCCTTTTCTTATGTATTGAAAATCCATAACACTAGATTAGCTTAGATTATCTTTAGGAGTAGTAAAATAGCATTGTTTAAAATATCATATATTATTTTATAAACCATTTGTTTTTATTATAAGTAGGAATAAATAAAAAAAGAAAAAACATTATAATACAATGAATATAACAAATAATTGATACTAGTTTTTTAGAAGTATGAAAATTGAAATTGTGGGTATTTATTATTGTACTAAAAAACAAATAGGGATTTGGAGTGTAAAAGGTTGATAGTGTTGTAAGATGACCAAAATAACCTCATCTCATTCTCAATCTGTAAGGACCAAGTGGGCCAGAACCAGTTTCAATAATGTAAATTTCATAATTGCCACTCACAGGTCTACAGAACAAAACTAAGAAAAAACCTTCACACATCTCACGCATCTCACACATCTCACACATCTCTGAAATTCCGTTCTCTCTCTCCCAGTGCAAAAGCTATGTACTCCAACCTCTGCCTCACCGCCACCGCAGTCGCCGCCATATTCGCCCTACTCGCCATCAGCACCACCAGATTTTCACCGCCGCTGCCGGAGACTCTCGATGAACCGAACATAGAATATTTGTCAATTGACGGCGGTGTAGGGCCCGAGAGTTTCGCCTTCGACAGCGCCGGCGGCGGACCTTACACCGGCATCTCCGACGGTAGGATTATCAAATGGCTGCCTGATAAACAACGGTGGATCGATTTCGCCGTGACTTCTCCGAACAGGTAATCACGACGCTTGTATTTTCTTTTTCCTTTTCTATTATTTATTCAAATGCATGATGTTCTTAAAAAAATAAAATGCATGATGATATTTTTTATTAATTAAATATTTATTTTCAAGAACTGGCACCCTACCAAGCTGGCTTCATTTGTTGCTTTGGAGGGGCAACCAGAGGGGAAAAAATAATATATATATATATATATACATATAATTATTTAAATGTTAAAATATAATATTCACTTTCTTCACTATTTTTTTTTTTAAGTTTTGGGAATTTAAAATTTAAGATTCTTAGTTGAGTTGAAATTTCTTATAGTTGGAGGTATGGTTAAAGTTGAGTCTGAAATTTAAAATAAAAAGTAATATTGATTTGAATCTGTTAATAATATAAATTAGTATTGACACACTATATTCGGTTGCATTAATATTGTTATAATTAACTTGTTTATAATTTAGAAACGAAAAAATTTGTGTGGGAGAGAAGGATTATGATAATTGGTGAGAAGTATTGAATGGGATAAGATTTTGATGGATTACGATAAAAGTGTGGCTGTTGTTGTTGTTGTGGTGGTGGTGTCAACTTTGATTGAGAATTTAAAAAAGAGAAAAAAGGATGAATGACGGGGAAAATAATAGGAACTCCCAAAAATAAAATGAAAACTTTATTTGTGTTACGACTTTGGGACGTCTCTTGGTTGGTTACTTGTGCATGATGTCCACGTGTAAGTTGGGATCTGCTGTTTGTCATTTCTGTTGGCGCATCACACATTTTTATGTGGTGATGGTTTCTAGATGAAAATGAACAGAACAGGTTGTGAAGAGGGAGAGAAAGAGGAGGAGAGATGTGGGAGACCATTAGGGCTCCGATTCAAACACGGCGACGGGGATCTGTACATCGCCGACGCCTACATGGGATTGCTTCACGTGGGCGCAAACGGCGGTTTAGCCAAACCAGTTGAATTCGAGATGGAGGAGGACCAGGTTTTGGGCTTCCACTCTTTCACCTTCGCCAACAGTTTGGACATTGATCAACTCTCTGGACATGTCTATTTCACCGATAGCTCTTCCCACTATCACAGAAGGTATTTTTTTTAAAAAAAAAGAAAATGATGGCCAACTGTAAAGACGTGCATGGGGCGGAGACCGAAAGCCGTACTTGTTTTTATTTTGTAGGAATGGGGCGGGATTCTTGGAAATTCACGGATCGCTCTCGATAAATTTTTGTCATCTTTATATGTATTTTGTTTTATATATATATATATATATATATATAAACTTTCAAAAGATAATTTTTATTAAAAAATATGAAACGTTCTAATAAATTTAATAGTAAAAAAAACATTTATATATATATCAAATAAAGTTCAACCATATTTATAAAACTTCAAATTAGACTCGAACGTTTTTTAAAAAAGATATTTAAATGTTGTGTGTTTTTGTGCAGGAACTTTGCGTCGGCTATATTAAGTGGAGACAGTTCAGGAAGGCTAATGAAATATGATCCAAAATCCAAACAACTAAGCCTTCTGTTGGGAAACCTTTCATTTCCGAACGGAGTGTCACTGAGCAAAAACAGGGATTTCCTTCTACTCGCGGAGACCACCAAGTGCAGGATTCTCAAGTACTGGCTGGGGACGGGCAAAGCCGAGGTGGTGGGGGAGCTCCCGGGGTTCCCGGACAACATCAAGAGGAGTCGTAGTAGTAAAGGAGGGGGGTTTTGGGTGGGAATTCACTCCAGAAGAGGAGGGGTGTTGAGGTTAATCCTGTCTCAGAGTTGGATAGGGAAGGGGTTGGTGAAGCTTCCTTTGGACGTGGACAAGATTTATAGCTATTTGGGGAAGTGGATAGGGAGTGGTGGGGTTGGAGTGAGGGTTAGTGAAGAAGGTGAAGTAATGGAGATAATCGAAGGCAAAGCAGAGTTGAGAGGGAGAAGTTTTTCTGAAGTGGAAGAGGGAGAGGATGGGGTTCTTTGGATTGGCTCTATTAATTCTCCTTTTGCAGCAAAGATCAATGTTTCAAAATATTAATTAGTTGGTTGTTTGGAGGGTAGGGTGTGTTTATCTTGATACTTCAGTTTAAAACATGATCTGTTTGCTAAACTACATGTACAATCAATCCAGCGATTAATAAAGTTTCATTCTTTCAATTGGGTTCTCGATAATATTAATAAAGAACAGTCTCTCCTCGTTCAAGTGAAACAATATTAATAACTTAAAACTATCCTAACAAAATTTACAGTTTATAAAATCTTCTCATGGGTGAGATGGGAACACTCTATGCCCTCACCTTGTCGACGTCTCATTCCTCTTATCTTCCTTCTCGGTAAAGAAGGCAAAGCACAAATCTAATTTCATGGCTTAAGGCTGCAACTGTTTCATATATTTTTCTTCATATGATACACCAGTGTGAATCATTCACCGGCGCCCTCTTCTACCTCTACCTCTACCTCGGTTGTTTCCACCTCTGCTGCTCCCATGTCTCATTCCACCTCGGGAAAAAATCGAGCGAGAATTTAAGTCCTCGTGGATAAAGCAGAATCAGAAGTCAACAGAAAATATCCAGGCAATTCGTAGATCAGGAATGTATTTGGAGAATCATTTCAACTCGAAATTCTTTCCTCAAACTCATGAGGCTTCACGGCTTTCTCAGATTGCAGAGCGAGCACTTCCCAAAATTGCTTGCAATTCATTGTATGGAAGAGCTTCTCCCACCTCTCCTTCAACAGATGGGCTTGGAAAAATTTCTTCAAATGTTTCCTCCCTTTGGAGCCCAATCTCTCAATTCTCTCGAGGTTATAGTTCTCTCAAGTTACTTAATTCCAAATCAGAAATCGAAGTCCCATCTCATGAGATCAGAAGCTATAACACAATGACCTGTCGGTTTGCAGAAACTACTCGTTTTGGAAACAATGGACAATTGTCAACAACAACTCAGCCTCATAATCGCTTGCTTAAAGCAGTAAGTCTGCGTTTGAGAAGAGTTTATGTTGCATTTGCGTGATCTACTAGATATTAGCATAAGATCATTCCTTTTTGTTTCTTAGGCTCTTCCTATTAGTTGATTCTGGGAGAGAACAAAATCTTGCAGGTTGAGTCAATATCAAATGAAGCATTAAGAGCAGCTATACTAGAAATAAGTTCAGTTACGAATATGGAAGACAGAATAACAGAACCGTGGTTTTGCGAAAAGGAAACACATTTAAGCCTGCAAGATGGGGGCGGTTTCTCAAAGAATATGAAGCGAAAAATGAATGCAACAACCTTAAATGACATGCCATCGCCTTGCAGTGATATTGTTGGGTCTGAACCAACAGTTACATCAATAAGCAAGAAGCTCAAGAAACTGGTAATGCATAATCTCTGTCCATCTCTTTGAAACTATTATTTCTGCCCACTTTTTATTTTCCTTTTGTCTTATAGAATTATGCTGAAAATTGTGCAGTCTGATAATGCCCTATTGGAAGAAATGAGAAACATAAACAGACATTTCATTGAAACGGTCTTAGAGTTAGATACGGACGAGAATGTCAATAGGCGATTGGCCAATGCGGGTACCGTTCTTCGATGTTCATATAGAGGTGCAACCGAAGGCAAGAATTCAGTGTTCCATTCTGAAAACAACACACTAAAGGTGAGGTTTCTAGCTATTTTTCTGCTCCTTCTTTCTCCAACTTGTAAACTAGATGCAAAAATTGACCAAAATATTTATGAAAATTTGTTTCCATTAGTTGCCAGTGCTTTCAGTGAAGCTGCTTGTGCCCCTGGATTATCCAGAAGATTACCCTGTATTCCTAAGCAAATTGAACACAGACTGCGGGTATGAATTGTTATAAATAAATGTCCTTTTTTAACAGATAGTTGAAATGCACTAGTTTACTGTACATGTTTTTAGTACTGAGGATGGAGAATTTAGAGACATGTGGAGCAAAGCGACGTCCCTGCTAAGTGCATTCCTCCGCACCTCTCCTGTCTACTTGTCTCTTGAAGAGTGTGCAAAGGCATGGGATGAATGTGCTCGCGCTGTGGTATGTGATTATGCACAACGTGCTGGCGGAGGATGCTTCAGCTCTCGATATGGGAGTTGGGAGGACTGCGCCGCTACCTGACCTCCCTTTACTTTGAACAGAATTCAGCTGAACATACTATTTTGAACATAATATACCACTAGATTCTAAGATTCGCATATCAACACTAAACCATTATATAATAATCCATTGATGAACCCATGAGATCGCTTCCGAGTACCGGAGCAGGAGGAGGAGGAACGGGTATTTCTCCAAAAATGTTTTCTTCAATCTCTTTGTATTTGGAGAAACTTTCTCTGATCTTCACTCTTTGCCTCTCCTCCGGTAAACAAAGACTAAACTCTGGATAAATGAGAGGGAACACTATCTCCCTTCATTCAACCCTTTGAACGAAATGTAGCAAAAGGAAGGAAAAGACATCCCTTTGTATTTGGAGAAACCATATTTATAAACCTCAAAAATATTTAGTGCACACCTCCCCCTTCTGCTTCGCTTGCCAAACATTATTCTCAAACTAAGTGTTTTTCTTTTTATTCTTTTCTTTCCTTATTTATTTATTTTTNTGTTTTCAATCTTGTTTTCACTTTACACTTCCCTTCTTTCAATGGGTTTCGCTTTCGTTCACTATTTCTTCAACTAACATTCTTGCTTGCCTCTGATCGACTTTCCGGTGCTCATTACAGAAGGAAATTAAGTAGAAAGTTGTGTGCCATTTTTTCTCTTCCGTTTCTGGTTTTATTCGCATTCAAGCTCAAATCTGAAGCTTAGTTATTTCTACAATTTAAATGTTTCTGGGTTTCACAATCTATCTTTATAGTTGTCGGCCTATTATCAAGGGGGCATTTCCTTTTTTCTCTGTAAGGAAGAAGAAGTTTTGGAGATGGCAGTTCCCCGAAATCATCCATTATTAATCATTCAAACGACTGTTTTTGTATGTATGTATTTCTGTATTTCTGTATGTATAATATATGTGCGTGTATATTGCGGTAACCGGTGCGGAGGGTACGATACCTCCAATTTTTCATATCCCTCTCTGAATTTTTTGTGTTCTCTTTCTAGGAATCAAGGATATAGAATAAGAACTTCGTACGTCTTTGGCACACTAGAGGCGCCATATTCTTGGGAAGGAAATATAGTTGCTTCGGCTATCATCCCTGCTATATCTGATGGATGCATTTCTTTTGAGAGAAATAGCCTTGCAACATGGCGGCCCTCTGGGCTTTCTATTAGTAGCCATGGTCTATCTTCACAAGCTGGTGCTGAGAACAGTGGAGAGGAAGATGACTTGGAAGATGGGTTTTCTGAACTTGAAACACTTCCAAGCACTAATGCACTTGAAGATAATAAAGCAGCTGATGAAAATGAAGGGGAATTAACCTCTGAATCAGAACTTGATGATGATACTGTCGATGGTGGGACTCAAAATGAACTGGATTTACCTGAGCTTGAAACTGAGCTTGCTGAAAAGATACCAGCGAAAAGGGCTCCTTCAGAGCTGTTCAAGGCTATTTGGAGTGCTCCGGGTTCATCTGTTCCCAGTGCACTTGACAAGTGGGTCAGTGAAGGAAAAGAATTAAGCCGTGCTGACATCTCTCTGGCTATGCTCAATCTTCGCAGACGTCGAATGTTTGGGAAGGCTTTGCAGGTAAATTGACTTGATTTTACTTTTTCAAGCAATGGAATTCATTCGTATGGTTTTAGGTTTTGTCGCGCTTGGGATTTCGGTTCATTCGTATGGTTTTAGGTTTTGTCACTCTTGGGATTTCAGGATGGTAATATTGATAAATCTCTAACAAATACAAAATGATTTCAGGATGTATTTGTTAGTTGATTAAAATACAAATTTTAGGCTGGTAATCAGTAAACCCGAGTATGTGGATCAATTTTTTATAAGTACCATTATCAAATGCTTCTATAGAAATTTGTTAAGCTGGCTTATGGCATTCAATAAATGGTGCCAGGACTGCGTATAGAATTTTCACATGGTTTGATATTAGGTTGAGCTGCATGTAACTGCTTGATTTATTAGTATATATGAATTTTGCATTTATTATTGTTAGTCTTATAAAGTCATTATTGGCAAGAAAATGGTTGTGCGAGTTTTAGCTATTTTATTGGTAAAGAATATTGTAGCTACCGTGTTTTTTTAAAATATTTTGCCTATTTGTTCAACATTCTTATTCATCATTTCTTCAACTCATTACTTGCATTGCTGTATGGGATTCACAGTTTTCAGAGTGGTTGGAAGCAAGTGGACAACTTGAGTTCGTTGACAGAGACTATGCTTCTCGCCTTGACTTGATTGCAAAGGTACATGGTCTCCATAGGGCAGAAGGTTACATCGCTAAAATCCCGAAATCATTCCAGGGGGAGGTGATATACCGAACTCTTTTGGCTAACTGTGTGGTCGCCAACAATGTAAAAAAAGCAGAGGAAGTATTTAACAAAATGAAGGACCTTGAATTTCCAATCACAGCCTTTGCTTGCAACCAGTTGCTTCTTCTTTACAAGAGACTTGACAAGAGGAAAATAGCCGACGTTCTGTTGTTGATGGAGAAAGAAAATGTCAAGCCTTCTCTGTTTACTTACAAGATCCTAATTGATGCTAAAGGCCTTTCAAATGACATGATGGGTATGGAACAAGTTGTTGATACAATGAAGGCTGAAGGAATCGAACTTGATGTAAATACACTTTCCATATTAGCGAAGCACTATGCTTCAGGTGGGCTTATAGACAAAGCCAAGGCCATCTTAAAGGAGATGGAAGATGTGAGCTCCAAAGAATCTAGATGGCCTTGCAGAATTTTACTTCCCCTTTATGGAGAACTACAAATGGAAGATGAAGTGAGGAGGGTCTGGAAGATCTGCGAGGCTAATCCTCGCATGGATGAATGCATGGCTGCCATTGTTGCATGGGGAAAGCTGAAGAACGTCCAAGAAGCAGAGGAAATTTTTGATAGAGTTTTAAAAACATGGAAGAAGCTTTCCTCGAAACAATACTCTACCATGTTGAAGGTCTATGCAGACAATAAGATGCTGACGAAGGGCAAGGATCTAGTCAAGCAGATGGCAGACAGCGGTTGCCGAATCGGTCCATTAACATGGGATGCAGTTGTGAAACTCTATGTGGAAGCTGGGGAGGTAGAAAAGGCAGATTCTTTCTTGCAGAAGGCGGTCCAGAAAAACCAGATGAAGCCATTGTTTACCTCTTACATGGTTATCCTGGATCAGTATGCAAGGAGGGGTGACGTCCACAATGCAGAGAAAATGTTTCATAGGATGAGACTATCAGGTTACGTGGCTAGATTCAGCCAGTTTCAAGCTCTAATACAGGCATACATTAATGCCAAGGCTCCAGCCTACGGCATGAAAGAGAGAATGAAGGCAGATAATGTGTTTCCAAACAAAGCTTTGGCAGGAAAATTAGCCCAAATCGATGCATTCAGGAAGACAGCAGTGTCGGATTTGCTTGACTGAGGAATTTAATTTGATACTTGGGAATGTATAAACTCCTCGGATTTCAACTCTATTTTACAAATCAAGTATTTGTTAGTTAATCTGATGGCTGCGCTTTGAAATTTGACATCAGCATACCTGTTAGGACAAACAGAACTACATAATGGATTGTGCTGCACGTGTTTTATAACATATTTTGTTTGTTCGAATACCCATTATTACCAAGAACACTCTGGTTTTGCAGTAAACTCAAAATGGTTTACTTACTCAAAGAATATTATTTGAAAATAAATTATAATATGATCCCTGGTGTAGGCTGATGTAATACAAATGTAAGTTACAGATACAACCTATTTTCCCATTCAGTTCTGTGAAACATCACCTGAAAAGATTATTGTAATAAGCCATACAATATCACCAACCGACACTGAACAACTGAAAATGTGAAGGCTATATATATGTATATATCAATCACAAACTTCACCCTACACCACCATTACTCATCTTCATCCATTGTACAATTCCTATGACAGAAGCAGCTTCATCCAATGAAGCAGTGCAATTCTGTGTGGTCGCACACTTTAAGGCACTTGTTTGATAAATTTGACAGATTAACTAGAGATAACTCCCATGCCCCTTTCACTCTCGTGGCCGTGCAAGCCAGAGAGAGCTTAGAGCTCGAAGGCGGGAGAAGTAGTCGTTTATTGCAAGAAGCGCACGAGCCGATTGACGGGTTGTCAATATGCGATGCATTTGTTGAAGTGTTTGTTGACGAAGATTATCGGCCTGCAAGTTATAGAAAGAGAAGGAAAAATGAAAGTGAGAAAACATGGACAAAGATTTCAACTTTACTTGTTCGTTGCATAAGCAAGGTATAAATGTAACAAGATGGAACAGAGTGACATAAAATCTAAAACCAAATTACCTGGCGTAGGAAGCCATCAAGAGTTCCAAGCTTTCCCATTGCCATGGCCATTTGACCCATATAGTTAGCCACATTACCTGATGACCCCGACGTAGCAGGCGTGCCACTGGCCAACGTTTCAGCCAAGGATTGCTGCAATGCATCCATTCCTTGATGTGCCACTGGCCACATTACCAGTGTGGGTTAGTGAAGAAGGTGAAGTAATGGAGATAATCGAAGGCAAAGCATAGCTGAGAGGGAGAAGTTTTTCTGAAGTGGAAGAGGGAGAGGATGGGGTTCTTTGGATTGGCTCTATTAATTCTCCTTTTGCAGCAAAGATCAATGTTTCAAAATATTAATTAGTTGGTTGTTTGGAGGGTAGGGTGTGTTTATCTTGATACTTCAGTTTAAAACATGATCTGTTTGCTAAACTACATGTACAATCAATCCAGCGATTAATAAAGTTTCATTCTTTCAATTGGGTTCTCGATAATATTAATAAAGAACAGTCTCTCCTCATTCAAGTGAAACAATATTAATAACTTAAAACTATCCTAACAAAATTTACAGTTTATAAAATCTTCTCATGGGTGAGATGGGAACACTCTATGCCCTCACCTTGTCGACGTCTCATTCCTCTTATCTTCCTTCTCGGTAAAGAAGGCAAAGCACAAATCTAATTTCATGGCATAAGGCTGCAACTGTTTCATATATTTTTCTTCATATGATACACCAGTGTGAATCATTCACCGACGCCCTCTTCTACCTCTACCTCTACCTCTACCTCTGTTGTTTCCACCTC